TCTCTCTCCCTGTCTCTCTTTCTCCCTCTCCCTCTCTCCGTTTCTGTCTCTTTCTGTCTCTCTCTCTCCCTCTGTTTCTCTCTCTCTCTCCCTGTCTCTCTTTCTCTCCCCCCGCCCTTTCTCTGTCCCTCTCTGCCTTGCTCCCTCTGTTTCTGTCTCCTTCTGTCTCTCGGTCTCCCTCTTTATCTTTCTCTCTCTCGTCTCTTTCTGCCTTCTCCCTTTCTCTCTCTCTCTCACACACACACGCACGCACGCACTACGGAGCCTGGAACAGGATCGGCTCTTTTCAACCGCGAAGGCCGAAGCCGGTCCAGATCGTGCCTATGAACAGGCGAGGGTGCTAGGGATCTCGGGGTGGGGTGCAGCGTCCAGCCCCCCCCCCCAGTCACCCCAGCTCCCCCTTCCCCTGGTGGAGGGAGACACCGGGAGGGTCGGCCTCCCCCTCCCTCCCGCCATCTCATTTCAGGATCCGAGCTGGCCGGGGTCGCTCTCCCCCCTGCCCCCCCCCCGTACACAGCCGCGATCAAACTTCATTAGTGCCGCTGCTCCGCTTCACTTTGGAAAGCGGGGGGGGGGGGGGGCGGCAGGAGGGGAAACGAGGGGCGGTGGGCTCCTCGGTTGGGTTCCCGCCACCCTCCCCTCCCTTTCCGGGTCCTCTTTTCAGACATTACGGATTGACAAGAGTCGGAAGGGACCTTTGCAGGTCATCTAGTCCAACCCCCGCTTAAGCAGACCCCCCCCCCACTTTTGACAGAGGGGAGTTCACCCTCTTTAACTTTGGAGAAGGGGTGGGGTGGGGGGGGGTCCTCTCTTTCGGGCTGGTGGGTGGGTCGAAGAGGCGACCTTGGAAAAGCAGGTCCCCGAAGGCACCACCCCCACCTCACCGGGCCCCCCGGGAAGGCAGGGACCCCAGGGAGATAAGGAAGGCATCCTACTCACCCACCCCTACTCCCCTTCGCACTCTGACCTCACCCAAGGACTGGTTTGGTCGTAGCGATTTCTGCCGCAGCCAGTTTTGGTTTTGCAGCCCATCAAGGACCGCCGGGACAGTCGAGAGGGCGGCCACCCCGACAACTAAAAATGCAGCTTAGAGGTGGCCTTGAGGTGCAGCTCTTACCCCCGCAATCCGGAGGCCTTTGAGTTCGATCCTAGGAAGAGGCAGAGATGTCTCTCTTTGGGCACGCTGAGAACGGATCTGCCGAATCCAACTCCAGATTGGCAACAGGAAAGGCATCCGGCCAGTAACTTAACACTCCGCTCTATTCAGATTCCACTGCACAAGGGATTAATGGGGTCATTAAAAGAGGATGGTCCCAGCGGGGAATGAATGGCAGACGACACGAAAAGATACCCCACACTGTTGTTGTTGTTTTAACGACGGCACGGATAAAATACACTTCCTCTTGAATTTGGTGGTACATTTAAAATGTGTGCCTCTATTTTATTTTATTTAAAAAATGTTTTTTAAAAAACAACTTTGCTTTTTGCTGTTCTGACCGGGGCTGTTTCCTCACCACAATGACAACACCCCTGAGAAGATTTTTTTCTTTTTCTTGGCGCTTGCTGGTTTTTTTTTTCTTTTTAAATCTGGCCAGTCTGAAAATCCCACCCTAGGCAGGCGGTCCTCGACTTACGACAACAACGGAGGCCAAAATCTCTGCTGCTGAGCGAGATAGTTCTCGAACGAATCCCTGCGGCTGTTAAGTTAGCACCACGGTCGTTAAGTGAATCTGGCTGACCCCGCCCTCACTGACTGTCCTTATATAGGAGGTCTCAGGATACCCCTGGGGGACACTGCAAACTGTCATAAACGGGAGACAGTGGCCAAGTGTCTGAATTTTCATCATGGGACCTCGGTCCTAAGAAACGGAGAAACGGTCATAGGTCGTATTTTTTTTTCCGCCTCTCCGTGCCGTCGAAACATTGAACGGTCCCTAAATGAGCAGTCGTAAGTCGAGGACTAACCCATCATAGATGCTGCATTAAGGTCCGACACAATTGGAGGGGATAAACCCAAAATGTAACAGAAAGCTTGCACACCCGTTCTGAAACAATGCAATTTCACTTCGCTTCCACCTTCCCAGCTGGGTTTTCCGTAGAAAAAGAACAAAACATTAAAAATAATTAAAATTAAAAACAACACACACACACCCACCCCCTCACCCGAGGTTCCTCCAGAATTTGCCTTATGGTTCTGGAAGAGTTTTTTCCAGGCCCGCAGAAATTCCCTGCCGGGTTCGAGAATAACTTTCAGCAGGCTGGCGAGGAACAAACGCGCCACGCCACATTCATTTCGGGCGGACCCCACTGCTGCCACCAATCTGACAGGGGTGGAAAGGAAGCCTCTTCCCTTGGCGGAGGCCGATCTAGCGGGATTCCCTGGCGTAGAAGTCCACGTCGTGGCTTGAGGTCTACCAAAAGGAGATCCGGAGAAGGGCTCCCTTTCGGCGGCCGCTCACCTCACGAGAAAAACTAAGCGGCCGCCGGAACGTTAAGGGGGTTGTTTTCCTCGTCCTCCCGCGTCAGCCTGGCCGGTGTTTTTGCTACGGACGGCGAGGCCGCCATCAAATGGGCTGCCAGGTTTTGTCTATGGTCTGAATGTGCTCCTTGGCTTTCATGCGCAGCGCGGCGATGCTGGAATTCCGCTGGTCCAGGTCCTCCAAGGGGTATTTGTCCACGAACGTCGTGGCGCACGGATACGCCATGGGCTGCATGCTCTGGGGCAGGGCCGGGGGGTTGTTGAGGAAGGAGTGAGCCGGGTAGGTGGGCTGGAGGGCCTGGCTGGGGCCCATCAATCCCGAAATGCTGTGCACCGTGGTGGCACCGGAGATGGGGGAGGTCAGCCAGGGGTCCAAGGGGAGAGCGTTGCCCATCGGGCCCATGTTGGCTGCCATCGGGGGCCGGCTGAAGGACAGCACGGGGGTGTCGTGAAGCTTCATGGCGGTGGCTTCCATCTTCTCCTGTCGGCGCCATTTGGCGCGCCGATTCTGGAACCAAACCTGCGAAAGAAGCGGCGGCAGAGGAGTGAGAAATGCGGTGTGGCCAGGTGAGCTGCCCCGTGCGAGCCTGGCCAACTGGAAGATTCGCGGGGGTCCTGAGCTGGCTTGTTTTCTTGCAGACGTTTCACGACCCAGCTAGGTAACATCATCAGTGTGAGAAGGGAGTGGGGCTTTGTGGAGAGGAGGAGGAGGAGGAGGAGGACTGTAGGGTCCTTGGTGCTCTCTGAGCTGGGTGGTTTTCCTGCAGACCTTTCGTGACCCAGCTAGGTAACTTCATCAGTGTTAGAAGGGAAAGGTTTTCCGGAGAGGAGGAGGAGGAGGAGGAGGAGGAGGAGGAGGAGGAGGAGGACTGTAGGGTCCTTGAGACTCTCTGAGCTTGGTAGTTTTTTTTTGCAGACATTTCATTACCAAACTAGGTAACCTCGTCAGTGCTAGAAGAAGTGAGGGGGTTGCAGGGAAGAGGAGGAGGAGGAAGAAGGAGGAGGAGAAGAAGAAGAAGAAGAAGAAGAAGAGGAGGAGGAGGTGGAGGAAGAGGAGGAGGAGGAGGAGGAAGAAGAAGAAGAAGAGGAGGAGGAGGAGGAGGGGGGG